ACCCGGCTGATTTTTTGATTTCTTGTAGAGATGAGGTCTCACCAAGTTGCCCAGGCGGATCTCGAACCCGCGGGCTCAGGCAATCCACTCACCTCAGCCTCCCAAGGCGTGGGATTACAGGCTGAGCCACCGAGCCCACCTTTATTAGAATTTTTAATCGCATAAGTACAGTCCCCATAACCAATGCCCATGCCTCCATTGGCAGACACGTTCACCACATGGGCCCATCAGAGACAGATGCTTTGCAACTGCTCACTGAACCCAAGACAGTCAGAAGATGTGGTTTCTCCCTCAGTGCTCATGTTTCAGTAACCACCTGTCACATCCACCTTCACACCGATGGGAAGATTCAGTATGTGGATGACTGGGACTGGGCAGGGGCGGGTTCAGGGTGGCAGACACTACCACACAGTCCTCCACAATAGCTGTGTGTCCAAGGAGACAGTGACTGAGGTCTTTGAAATTGCTTGAGTGCCTGAGTGAGGGGGTGTGAATCCCACCCCCCCACACACACACACACGCACCGTCTTTAGGGGAGATGACGGACACCAAATGAGCCAAACTTTGAGAAAGACACTGCTGAGCGTTTTTGTGACCTATCTTGTAATTGTGTGGGGTCCTCCCACACAGTTGGCTTTACTGCAAGGGGAATCCTGCAATAGAGCCAATCCCTAGGGTGCCCGGAAGGAATCATACCGAAGAGTGAATCTATGATTTGACTAGTGAGGCCGTGAGAGGAAGCGCCACTAGGTGGCAGTGTGGGCCCAGAGCAAGGGTGTGTGGGGAGCAGCCCTGGGGCAGGAAAATTAAGTAATAAGGAGATAACCAGAGGGACGCACAACAGCTGGAGCAGGCAGACATCTGAGGCGGAACGGGGGCACATCACTGTTCTCAACATGCAGGTGAAGTACACAGTGCTGTAAGATTCACAAAAAAAATAGCTGGGAGTCCAAAACCCTTGGGGCCCTTTGGGTTTAGAGACTGCCTAATCACTGACCTCTGTAGGGGATGCTTTCAAGAGGACAACCATGGTGCTCTGACATTGGCTTACCTGGGGGCAGGGAAGCTTCACTGAGGACCTTAAAGCTGGATCCTGAGGGATGCCTGGGAATTGGCAGGTTACCCACGCTTAGAGAGGAAGTGGGGTGAAGGGTGTAGGGACTTGGCTATGTTAACTAAAACAATCACAAGATCTATACATTTAGAAAGGATGCTTTATTTCTTTTTCTTTTTTTTCTTTTTTTTTTGAGTTGGAGTTTCACTCTGTCGCTCAGACTAGAGTGCAGTGGCGCGCTCCCGGCCACCACAACCTCGACCTACTGGGCTCCGGCGATCCTTCTGCCTCAGCCTTCCGGGTAGCTGGAACTATAGGCAATGCACTACCACGCCCGGTTAGCTTTTTTTTTTTTTTTTTTGGTTTTTTTTTAATTGTAGAGACACGGTCTCGCCAAGTTGCCCAGGCGGGTCTCAAACCCGCGGGCTCAGGCAATCCACTCGCCTCAGCCTCCCAAAGTGCTGGGATTACAGGCTGAGCCACCGAGCCCGGCCGGATACTTTATTTCTTGTAAAGCATTACAGATTGCAAATTGACTAGCCCACAGACTGGGAACTGCAGTCCCCAGTTTAAGTCATTAGCTGGCGCTTTGAAGGAGGAGGGTTTGGAGTAGGAACTTTATTTTGAACAGGTTGGCTAAACATACATATTTAACAGATTGCAGGAGGAGCTATGAATATTCATGAAGATGGTCCTGACACATGGGTATTGAATAAACATGCATGTAGCATACAACCCATGTTCATTTTAGGATGGCAACTTAACATTTAAATATATTAAAATTAGGCCCTAATATTTAAAAATTTATTCAGGGCACAAAGACACTGAAGTGTGCAGCCTCTGTAAAATCACCAGAGGTAGTCCATGGTCAGTGGTCTCTCATCAGGAGAAAATTACAGAAATCAGTCTCTTGTCCAATCAAAGTTGCAGTTATGGCTTGTAGAATGGGGGGTTCAATTAGTCAGTGTCTGGTGATGAACTACAATTGTTTTGATATTGGTTATTTTGAGGCCAGTGCTTACATAGCTGATAGAGACAAAGAAAAACCTGTGGCAGTTAGAACACAGTTTATTTTTTAAGTATAGGGATGTGTGAATTACCCCCTGCCTGGCATGGCCTTGGGTCTTGTCTGTAGTTTGGTTTCTTATTGTCACAAGTGATACATTTTGTCAGTCTTATAATCTCTTTGTTAACATTAATACTGGTTAGTTGTATCTAAACTGCAAAAGGGAGGGGGTATAGCAAGGTATGTCTGACCTGTCTCATCATGGCTGAAATTCAGTTTTTAAGGTTTCTCTAGAATCCCCTTGGTCAAAAGGGGGTCTGTTCAGTCGGTTGGGAGGCTTATGATTTTCTTTTTAGTTTATAGTTGCAACCCACTACTTGCTAGCTGTGAGATCTAGGGTACATTGTAATTTCTCCATGCCTCAGTTTCCTCACCTGTAAAGAAAGGATAATATGTGGTAGTTGTGACAATGAAATGAGGCTGGAAGTTGCTGACAGTTCCTGGAACATAGTAAATGTTCAGTAGAGTAGTCATTGATGAGAGAAAAGGAGAGAGCTTGAGATTTGGCCCCATAAAGACCCAGGTTCAAAATTATAGCTCTGTTGTATGACAGCTAAAAAGCCTCTTTGTCTTCATAGTAATGGGACAGAGGACAGGGCCCCATACAAGGTCCCATGCCAGGCTCTCCAGGTAACCCAGCTCTCAAAGTGAGTTATGAGGCGCCCATCCCACCCCATCCCTATTCCAAGAAACTCGCTTCTGGACAACTCAGGAGAGGCCCGGCAGGGCTCCATTGAAGCCTGGCTTTCCTTCAGGGAAGTGACAGAGAAATGAGTCCTCTGAAGTCACTTCTCATCTTAATCAATTTTCCTCCAGATTCACAGGATTCTGCTTTCAGGTCTTCTATTTCCTCTGGCATCCTGGACAGGGCAAACTGAGCCCTGTCTGCCCTAAGGAAAACCTGGACACTATCATTCAGGCCCTTAATAAGACTGCATGGATCTCGAGGCTTGCCTTCTTTCCAGGGAAGCTGGGATCACACAGTGTGCAGTGATCAAGGGGGTAGGGACTGGACCCTGCTTCCTCTCCATATACCGCATCTCCAGTCCTTCTGGCCCAAGCAATTGGAGTAGATTCACATAGATCCTAAAATCCTTCAAGACACTCCCTGGTGAGTCCAATGAACTGAAAAAAAAAGTGGAGGAACTTGGGATAGGAGTGTGGCCTTTGGATTCAGAGTCCGAATCAAGCTCTGGCCCTGTCATTTTCTATCGAATAATTTTGTTCCCTGGGGCTCTGTCTTCTGGTTTGCATTATGGGAAGAATACTAGTTGTTGAGGATCAAATGTAGCAAGTACTCTTTGTAAATGGGAGCCAGCGTCACTATTCTGCCCGCCCCCACTTCTATTATCCTACCTTCAGATTATCTCTGGGTGTTTGGAGCTCCAGGTCTCTCTCTCAGCATTTTTTTGGGGGGGGGGCGTGGCACTAATCCAGAGACTGGACCATCTGGGGGTTGACTGTCTCTGTCCGCCTCTTCAGGTCTGTAGACACAACTTTAATTAGCAGAGGCGGCCAGAGGCCAGGGCGGGCGGAGACAGAATGGTCCTGCCTGATTCAAAAAGTTAGAATGCGATTTCTCCCTCAACTCTTTCAAATAAAACGTTCTTGCCTGGATCCTTTTGGCTGTGGTGGCCGCAAGGTTGACCCCAGTGGACCTGCTTATGTCTGGGGCCGCCCTCTGCACCCTGCTCCACTCTTTAAGTCCCTCTCCAGAACCCACCCTAAGCCACCCAACTCCCCGCCGCCCAGCACATAGTCGTGGGGTCCAGGAGCGGACCCTGACAGACCGCCTTGGAGGAGCGGCTAGCAGGGCGGACAAGCCCGGGACTCTGCCTCCGCGCTGCCGCTGGTTCCACAATGAGATAAGGGGATCCTTCTCCGACCCGGAAGGCCAGAAGGCAACCTGGGTTCGGGTGGCCGGAGCCCGGGTCCCTACTTGACCTCCCCCAGTCTGATCTTTCCCTACTTCCTCTCGGTCCCGCCCCTCTGGGTTACGTCAACTCCAGGTCTGCGCGTTGCAATTGGCTTGCCGGCCACTCGGCTCAGCCCTCTGCGTTGCGATTGGCCGGCTCTCGGGGCCCCGCCCCGTTTTCCTGGAAAGTTCTTGGAAATCTGTCAAAGGTGTTTCCTTTCGCAGCCCGAGGCCCCCGACACTGTGTCGGCACCCCTGCACCCCCCCGGACCCCTCCGCACAGGCTGCGGTTCTAGGAAGACGCCGCTTCCGGGAAAGGGCTGGGACACGGCGGACAAAGCCGTAGGCGGCCGCTCGCCCCGCCCCTTTCGCCCGGCCCGCCCCTTTCGCCCTCCCGGAGGGCCGCGCCGCCGCCTCTCAGTCCCTGCCCGCCGCCCGTGCGCCCCGGGAGCCGGCCCTGCGCGCCTCGCGCGGTTGGCTTCCTCCCGCCGCCGCCGTCCAGCCGAGTCCCACTCCGGAGCCGCCGCCGCCACCGCCGCCGCGGGGACATGGTCCTCTGCGTTCAGGGGTAAGCGCCGCTCTCCGCCCAGCCCAGCCTCCGCGCGGGGCGCCCCG